GCCTGGGTGGCTCCGTCATTAAGCGTCTGCCTTCGGCTCAGGCCATGAGCCCAGGGTCCCGGGATCAAGCCCCACATCGGGCTCCCTGCTCAGCGGGGACCCTGCTTCTCTCTAGAGAGAAGGCCCACTGCCCCTGATTGTGCTCTGTGAAGTAAAATCTTTAAAAAAAAAAAAAAATAATAAGGATAAGGAGAGAAATCTATCTAATAGGGCTGTTTTCAGGATTGCACCAGATAATGAATTTGTTCAGGAAACATCTGGTAAGTGTCTGCTATGGAGCAGGCAGCAAGCGGGAAACAAACAGCATCCGGGCTCCTTGCTTTGTAAAATGGGGAGAATACCAGCACCAACAGGAGGGCTGCTGTGGGAACGGAGGGTAGCAATAGAAAGCACGCGGAAAACGCACCCAGTGTGAGTGTACAAGTCACAGACTGTACCGAGCACCATAACCCAGCAGAACATAAGGAAACAGAGCCGAGCGGATGAGGAAGGTGCACGGCCGTCTCGGGTCCTCCGGCCAGTGCTGGGTGTGGCCCTTGCACACGTATTTGTCCCAAGGGAGAAAAATACTTATGAGGAATTCTGGTAAAATCCAAGTACGTTTTCCCACTCATTTAAACCGTTGTTTCAAAAATAAGTTCATTTCTCATCACTGATCTTAAGTTTTCTCTGCACATGAAATCCTCTGCTGAGGAATGAAGTGGCCAACACTCGGGGAGCCCAGGGAGACGTGGGTGAGGGTGAGGCGTTGATGCCCGGTGTGGCAGCTCCTCGGAGGTGGGCAATGCCTAGGCGTCAGGTGGACGGCACAGAAAGCCATGCTGCCACGGCAGGACAGGCTCGGGGCCTGCAGCTCACCATGGAAGCCAAGAAGGCCGTCTCCGTTTGCGGTTCTGTTCCAGAGACACCCTGACAAGTGGCTTCCTGATGCAAACTGCCATCAGACCATGCAGAGTCCACTCAAGCTGCTGTGACAAATGCCACAGGCTGGGTGGCTTGGAAAAACAGGGATGCACTGCTCATAGTTCTGGAAGCTACAAGTCCAAGATGGGGGTGCCGGGGGAGGGTCTCCTACAGGTCACAGACCACTCACCATGTCCTCACCTGGTGGAAGGGGAAGGGAGCTCTGGGGGCCCCTCTATAAGAGCATGAGTCCCATTCAGGAGGCTGCTCCACCCTCACGACCCAACCACCCCCCTCAAAGGCCTCACTTCCTGACACCTCACCTTGGGGGTGAGGTTTCCAATACATGGATCTGGGGGGACATGCGTTCAGGCCGCAGCGTAGTCACCGACAGCCTACGTAAACAGCTCTCCTGAGGAAGCAGCAGACAAACCCCGAGGCTGCTCCACACAAAAGTCAGACGCATCTACACCAACGGCATGTGGGTGTCTCCCAAGTACGTAAGCGAGAACCAGCACCATGATGTGAGAACCCCAGTGAGCACGAGAGGAGGACAGAGAGGCCAGAGAACCTCGTGAGCTGCACTCTGTCGTGACCAAGTGGGGCCAGAGGTTAACGGACAAGTCACAAAAGGTCACGAAGCCCATTGTGCCAACGGTCCTCCCCACTCTGGCAGGCGCCCTCACTGGCCTCTCTTCCCAGAGGCAAACCACCTGGGAGAGGCCATTACAGCCCAGCCACCCGTGCAGGGCCGCCATATCCCGACCCGAGTGCACAGCAGACCTGCCGTCTACACATGGGCTTCCCCACTCGGACCCCCCTCACCTCACGTGAACCAAAGGCTCTTGCGCCCTGCAGCTAGGGTTTACTCCTACTTTTCGGCAAGTGGTCGAGATCAACGACGCTGCCTGCATGTGACGTGCCCCACGATGGCTCCAGGCGGCTCCGACCCAGGGCCGCTCAGACTTTGCAGCGTGTCACCAAGGGTCACTGCTCGACTGTCCGGGAATGGCTCTCCGATTACCTGTCCCAAATGAACTGCTGGTTCATTCGGCACCCATTCTCTCGGCTCTTTGTGAGAGGGCTGAGTGGCTGTCCCTACCCCCCAGGCGCCGATCACCATGCTTCTCATTCCAGAGGGGAGACCCCTGAGCCCCGAGCGGTCCCGGGGAACTTCCCCCACCCCCCCGCCGCAGTATGACAAGTACGACAAGCTGAGGCCCCGAGAGCAGGAGACTCCTTCTGTCTAATCTGTTTTAGGGTCATTCTTCTCTCTGCCTAGTGCCTCCTCTCTCCCCCAAACCATCTTAATTTTTCCATCAGGAGGCCCCAGAACACTGAACAACACAAACTCCAAGAAAACACTTTTCTTCTGACTCCACAAGCTGAGTCTATGAGGAGAGGCATGTTCAGTAATTCTCTACACTTACCTTAACGTTTTCGAGAAGAGTATCATCTCGACCCAGGCCGGGTCCCACGACCAGGGCATGCAGCCGGGGCAGCCACTCCTCCACATCATGAACGGCGCCGGGGCTGTCGCTGCATGGAGAAAGCAAGGCCGGAGCAGCTCAGTCCGATGTGCACTCACTGGCTGGGGAGCCCACACGTTTTTCTGGATTTCCCCAGGTCCTTCTCCTGTTGCAGGACCCAGGCCAGGACCCGAGCCTGCACCTAGCCATACCTCCCCCGTCAACTCCGTAGACGGGCTCATCCTTTCACACCCCAAGGGAGAAATCTAGCTTTCAGCACCTAAACGAAGCTATAGAGACATTCCAGCTACTTTCCAGACAGTCTTCACCCTCTAGAACGAACCGGTTTGTTTCCATCACACAGGGGTACCTTATGTACTCAAAGGGGCACCTGTGAACCCTGTCACTTAGAAGAGGACCTGAGAGCTGTACGGGATTGTGTCGTTTCACCACACCACCTTCCCACCCATCTCGCTCGACTCTTAGAACCCACTTTGTAAGGCTTTGCCCCCAACAAGTCCACCATGAGATCCAAGCACCTGTGCTTAGTCTCCGTATCTGACGGACTGCAGGGACACAGGCCCTTCCAGAAGAGTGCCAACAGCTCTCCAGAGTACCCCTCCTCCCCCGTTCCCTGCCCATGCTGAGCTCCCAGCTGCTGCGCGCTGGGCTGTCCCCGCTGATACGCACTCCCGCAGAGCCTCATCTTCTCCTGGCTTTAAACACCTCCCATGTTAATACCCCCAGATCTACGCCTTCCCCGACCACCCCACTCTTGTCCGACACATCACAGCAATGCCGCCTGGATGTCCAACAGGCAAGTGAAAACACATCCAAAAGCCAGCTCCTGATGGTCACCCCCGCCAAACCTGCACCCCCAGGTTCCCCCCCTTGTCAAGTGACAACTAGCTTCGATCAAACCCAGAGCGGCCTCCATGACTCTCATCTTTTCCTTCTACCCCATAACCCACCTGCCAGTAGATCCTGGGGCTGCACTTTCAAATGTACCTAGAATGTGACCCCCTCTCCTACTTCTACTCACCAAGACGCTGACAACTCCCTTCTCATGCAACCCCTGCTCCCACCCTAGGCCCCAAAAGCTCATTCTCCACAGCAGCCGGCTAAGTCTTTAAAATGTACACTGGATCTGTTGCTCCCCTGCTCAAGGGCTCTAGCACATCCCTTCTCCCTCTTCCTCGTTTACGTGAAAGCCGAAACCCCTAGGATGACCCCCCATGACCTGCACACCTTGGCCCTGAACCTCTCGGGGCACCCGCCCCATCCTGAGTCTTCAGTGCTCCCCAAAACTCCTTGGCTTGAACCGCGGCGCCAGCCCTTCCCCAGGTCTGTAGGTCCCTACCTTAGTGCCACTCTCTGGGCCCCTGCCCACCATCACCCTAGTGAAAACTGCACATGGGCCACGAGCGTGCACACATAATGCGTGGCACGCGTGCTTCCCACACGGCTGGCATTCCCTGTCTCCTGCCCTGCCCCGCTGCGTGGTCCTCATCACCCTCTGACATCCTTCTCTCTTGCTTGTCCGTCGCCGGAGCTGTGCTGCCCAATAGGGCAGACACCAGCCACATGTGGCTATGTAAATTTAATTCAGCTTCTGAGTCCCACCGGCCACATTTCACGTGCTCAGCAGCCATAGATCCGGATAGCACCGAGAACGCGTTCACCACTGCATAAAAGCTCTAGGACACAGGGCTGCCCTAGAAAGGGGGCTGCACGGGAGCAGGTGTTTTGTCTGCTTGGTTCAGTGCTGTCCCCGTGGAAGCCAGGGCAGGGACGGACAGTGGAAGCATCTGCTGAACAAGGGAATGGCCAATGCCTGCTCGACAGGCCCCTCATTACTGCTGTGGGCAGCATAGCTGCAGGCAAGGCCAAGACTCTGTTAGGAAGCTTCAGCCACTTCTGAGGGACCACGGGGCAGCCTGGGGGCATAGCGCCCTGGGGGTCCAAACCCCTCCCATGCCGTACACACATGGCTGCTTGTCTTCTGACCAGACAGTGGGCTCCTTACAGCCTTCTCCTTCTAACAGCACCTCCCTACCACCCCCCAGTACAGCAGCCGCTCCACGGAGGGACTTAGAGCCCACAAGAAGGCCCCATGGCCGAGGAGCACAGCTGCAAGCAAAGCACCCCCGAGCGGCCCCACTCACAGAACTGGGTGAACAATCAGCTCCGGGCTGTACGACTTGATCACAGGCGCAGCCTCCCGGGTGCAGAACACGTGGGATAAATCTGCGCCCTGAGAAATGAGCACAAGAGGCTGACTCAGAGCAGGGCCCGCTCAACAGACACGGAGGTGGCCTCAGCGCCAGGCCCTCACCACAGCCCTTAAACTATAGCGAGGTGGCTCAGAGAAGATGGAAGCAAAGAAAACGGCTGGAAAGAAAGCAGACTGTCGCTGCCACCCAAGAGGCAGGTCAACCCAGAGCAACTCTGGCTGCATCACCCCGAGGGCCACGGGGAGCACGTTTCACATTAACTGTGCCAACTGGGCCATCAGGACTTGATCAAAGGCCTGAGAAATCGCCAAGGCATAAAGATGCCAACTGCTTAAGTGAGGACTAAAGCGGCATTCTAGGATCATGGTGGTGAAGGACAATTCTAATAAAACTTCAGTTAGGGGCGCCTGGGTGGCTCAGTCATTAAGCATCTGCTTTCAGCTCAGGTCAGGTCAGGATCCCAGGGTCCTGGGATCGAGTCCCGCATCAGGCTCCTTGCTCCGCGGGAAGCCTGCTTCTCCCTCTGCCTGCCACTCCCCCTTCTCGTGATCTCTCCCTAATAAATAAAATCTTTAAAAAAATCCACTTATGTTGTCACTGCACAAGGTTAGGATAGATTTAAAGGTGTTTCTCTTGCCCATGATTACCCCAGGACATTGAGATTTCTATCAGAAGACATTTCTCTAATCATATTTAAAGAATCCAACTCTTGGGGCGCCTGGGTGGCTCAGTCGGTGAAGCATCTGCCTTCAGATCAGGTCAGGATCTCAGGGTCCTGGGATCGAGCCCCGCATCGGGCTCCCTGCTCAGCGGGGAGTTTGCTTCTCCCTCTACCCCTCCCCACTGCTCGTGGTCTCTCACATGCTCGCTCTCTCAAGTAAATAAAATCTTTAAAAAATAAGGAAAGAATCCAATGGTTGACTAGACAGAAAAGCTGTAAACAGACCTACCACTTTGAGAGCTGAGATGGCAGCAAAGTAGGGCGCTCCAGTGTACCTACAAAGTAAGACAGGGACAGTCAACATCCTCTGAGAAGGCCAGCACACCAGGGTTATCAATGGGACATAAAGACAGGAATCACCGAGCCCAGGGCCCAGCACCTCGTAGCAGGGAGCCCAGCGAGGCCTGAGCTCCCAACCCGAGCTGAGATCCAGAGTTCACCGCTCGACCAACTAAGGCACCAGGCGCCCCTGCCACGGAAGACCTTCATACCACGTCAGGACCGCTGGCTTCTCTGCAGCGCTGTGTTCAAACTGGAGGCTTGCAGAGGCCGTGAGAACTCACAGACAGCGTGGAGAACAGCGGCACACAGCCAGGCGCGGAGACTCACACACCTCCCGACCCCACCCCCCCCCGCGTCCATCCCAGCATTCCTGTCTTTTTAACATTGCTTCCAGCACAGAAGGGGAGGGCAATTAGCAATGGGCAACAACATTTAAGATGTCTGCACTCTGCTCCAGTATCAATTCTGGGAATTGATCCCTTGGAAATAACCAGATGCACATATAAGTAGAAAAATATACAGGTATGTCTACAGTCATACTGTTTAGTTGGGAAAAAGAACAGAGGTGACTGATCGCCTATCAACAGGGATTGGTTAGTAAGTTACAGCCATCTTTACAACAAATACCACAAGTCCACTCACCAAGAATCGGTCTCTAGGAACCAACATGGAATGACTGATACCCAGGACACTGCACTGAATGAAAAGGAGGTCACACCAGCAAACAGCAAGTATACATAATGCAAAGCCCTGACGCTTGTTTCCTCTGTTCTGTAATACAAGTACCTGACGTAAGCTCTGACTGCAAAAGCATCCACTTCCAACACCGCTATCTCAAACGCTTCACCAGCCCAGGACTAGGGAGAAAGCCAGGCCACCCCCACCCCCTTGAGGCTAGTTTGTTTTAAAGATCTTGGTTGATTTCAGGGCGCCTGGGTGGCTCAGTTGGTTAAGCGACTGCCTTCGGCTCAGGTCATTTTCCCAGGGTCCTGGGATCAAGTCCCGCATCGGGCTCCCCCTGCTTTGTGGGAAGCCTGCTTCTCCCCCTGCCTCTGCCTGCCACTCCTCCTGCTTGTGCTCTGTCAAATAAATAAAAATCTTTAAAAATAAATAAAAATAAAGATCTTGGTTGATTTCAATAACTATTTGAGCCACTTGTCGTCTCTCTTCCGGTGCTTTAAATTCACCAATAAGAAGTGAGCCCTTGAGACCCTAGGTGCCCACCCTCACCCCCAATAAAAGTAGAACCCAAGCCCACATGATCTGTCCACCCACCTCGCTGTGTAGCCCCAGTGCTGTGTCATTTCCAGATCTTGTAAGTAACACACCTTTATTTTTTTTTATAAGTTTCCTGAAAGTTGTTGCTAACGGGCATCTTGTGATCATAAGAACCACGGGGGCAGCTCCAACTACAACACTGGTTATTGGCAGGCTGAGACTGGCACAAAACAGTGACAACGTGGTCCAGTTTTGTAAAAAATAGTTACGTACACAGAAAAGTCTGGAAGGCTAATAATGTGCCCGTGCTGTATTATTATATGGGGTACTATGAGGCTTTCACTTCACACGTTTCTGCAGTGTTTGAATTTTTACAACAAGCAGATAATACCTTTATAATCAGAATAAAGATGACCCTACTTTAAAGGTTAGTTCCCAAAGCTAATGGACATATTTTAAGTTAGATAATTACTCCCTAGTATGCTACACTACCAGACTCATCTGAAAAGAAAGCCTGATGGCCAGTTCTTCCCAGGTAAATGTCCCAAAATACAAGGCAGGAGAGAGAGGGGATGCGAAGGCTAAAACCCCCGACTCCCCCAACTCTCAAGGGGTTAAGGGCCCGAGGGCCTGGTCGAGGCCACCGCGCTGCCGGCCTCCATCCCGGATGCCGGAGGAGGGCTGTCCTTTAACTGGGGACCTAAAGGAAGACAAGCAGCTAAGAGCTAATGATCCAAGAATCCACAATGCAGTTAGAGAAAAAAACAGATGAGAAAGGAGAGCCAGTAACAGAGGCACACTTTCCTCATCCAAAGGGACCATGTCTACAGACAGAAAGGGTTCACCAAGTCTCAAGTACGATTAGCAAGGATAAGACACACCCGGACACATCCAGAAGAAACTGCAGAATTCTAAAGAAAAAGAAAATCTTATAAACATCCAAGCAAGAACAAGTTACTTATAAATTAAAGCAAACTTCTTTTTTGTGGTGCAAAATACAGGCTAGAGGACAATGCAATCACATGATAGTTTAGCAAAGAAAATCATGCTACCTGAGATTTCCTAACTCAGCCAAGGCACAAGAGCCCACCCACCACAGCAAGACACAGTGGGTATGCAAGTACTCCGCAGGGTCCCCTGCGTATTGTCAAAGAAAATGCCAGAAAAGGGGCACCTGGGGGGCTCAGTCGTTAAGCGTCTGCCTTCGGCTCAGGTCATGGTCCCAGGGTCCTGGGGTCGAGCCCCGCATCGGGCTCCCTGCTCCACGGGAAGCCTGCTTCTCCCTCTCCCACTCCCCCTGCTTGTGTTCCCTCTCTCGCTGTCTCTGTCAAATAAATAAATAAAATCTTAAAAAAAAGGAAAGGAAAATGCCAGAAGAGGCCAAGGACTCCCACCCCGAGTGCAGACCACTAGGCCAGGCAGGAAGTAGGCAGCGGCGTACGAAGTTGCGTGTAGTACTAGGGGCTGCGCTACGAGTTCCCTAGCAGTTCTCAGATCAGTGTTAGTGCTCTCCCGAGTGGCATTTCTAATCCATCATGCTAGTTAGAAAAGGCAAGCCCTAGCTAAATTTGAAAGCATAACAGTATTTCCAGATTAATAAAAGGAAAAACCTAGCAAAAATAAGGAAAAAATGGAAACAACGAAAAATGAAGAGAAAACATAACAAGTCTTAGAAAGTACAAAGTACATTAGGTAGACTAAATGTAAACAGGTTGATTTGCCTTATTAAAAAGAGCAGCTACTGTCACATGGGGTTAAGAAACAAATCAAGCTGTGTATTATTTATAATACACCTATGTGATAAACCGCTGAAAATACACAACCAGGCAGAGACAGCGCATCAACATGAACAGAGAATAAGCAGTAGCTGAAATGGTAACCAAGGTCGAATTTAAGTCAAAGGCAAAAGTATCATTTATAAACAAGGACAAATTATAAAATTTTATGTGTAAACAACACGGCAGCAAAATCCATAGAACTAGAAAACAAGCCTTGAAAAAAGGCTAGCACCTGTCAAATTTCCTTAATGGCTTCCAAGAACATCTTCAAATTGACAAAGTAAACCAAACACATGGTTTTCTCCTGATTACAAAGTAACATGTTTATGGTATGTAGCCTGGTCAATCCAGGAAAGTATAAAACAAGAAAAAACAGTCCCAGCCCCGAACCGTGAAGGGAGTCTCCACACTGACACACCAGTCAACAGCTCACTCGGGGCCCTTACTGTTTTCTTCTATTCACAAAGTTCATCACTGAAAAATCCCGGGTGTCGGAACATCAGACTACACTGAGACATTACTGGGGTCCAACCAGACAGAGAGACGGACGACTGACTGATAAGCAGGTAGAGAGCCAGACAATAGACTGACTGCTTAAACACTAACATTTTCCAAGTCACTTACTCCTGGCAGCCTCCAATGACGCCTATTCTTCCATCTTGGCCTTTGTGCTTCTTGGAAGTTTGAGGAGGTATAATATTTCTCACCAGCTGCAAAGTATTTTCCATATCCTTTATCGAATGTGCTTTATGCAGTGAAAATGCTCTTTGTAAAACTAAAAAACAGGAAAACGGAATCATTTAGAAAAATATCTATTAACATACATAAAAAGAGAGACTGAAACAAGATAGTCTATTAACCAAAACACTTCCCAAAGCTGACTTAACATGGAGGCTATAGATTTTTATCCAATGGTTTCCTTATTTTATTTCTGTAAGCAAATGATGCTTAGAAATTACAACACAACACTAACACTAGCTGGACATAACAAGTTTGTTTTTGAAATGTATCAGACATTTCCAAAGTCTAGTTAACCTTTCAGAGAGTGTTTTTAATGCATTACCACTTAATAAACTACTCATATTCCAGTTCAATCTTCCATTATCAGGTCTCTTCTCTCAAACTGGAAAAGCAACCTCCCATATTCATACTCCCAACCTTCCAGTCATGTTTCTGACACTCAATTAGATACTAATTAAATAACCTAGAAATGGCCTCCTAAATAGAGAACATAGCTTACACTGGGTTCAAAGCAGCATTTTAAAGAAAGATGAAAAAATAAATTAAATAAGATGATTTTGAATTGTCTCTAAATAGCTAGATTTTAACTGCCTTTCTAGAAAAACTTCCCTCATTACATAATTGCCTTGATATTTAACCCAGCTCAGCTGTGAGAGAAATCCCATGTTCTATAACATGTTGTGTATTCAAGGTTTGAATAGATACTAAAGCACGTTTTCTCTAGAATTAAAGTGTCTTTGCAAATATACACAATACTCACACAAGGAACCCAAAATTCATTTCCTTCCAGTTATCTCAGCAGCAGAGGAAAACCAGGCAGGTGTCACAGTTCGAATGAAGACCAAAAGCTGCCCCAGCTCCATAAGGTAAACAGTTTTATCTTTAAAAACACTCTTAAAATTCTGCTTTTTATTCAACAATTTTATTCAAGTAACTTTAATGAGTAGCTGTAATTGCCGCCTCAGTTGATGTGCCAGGTGCTGAGACCTCCACATGTGAGAATATTAATTACTGTCAACCCAACACTTTTCACCTGCTCCCAAACCAACACAAGACTAAAACTTAAAACAGAATCACTGTAAACCTTTGGCCAAGAAAAGGCCCAACTGGGCTTGCTCAGCCTTGGCGACAGCCGGCTGATCCCTCTGCTTCCAAAGTCTGGTGCCAAGTCTTCCATCCTGCCCCAGAGGCACCCAGCTACCAGAGCAACCCAACTCTCTCCTCCACCTCCCCGGCGCCTGTTCACGCCCCGCCCCCCAGCCCGCTCACTGTCTCCTCCTCGCCCCCATCACTGTGCACTCCCGGTGAGCTGCAGGAAGAGTACTAGGGCTGCCGCCATCAGATCCGGTGACACATCGCTGACTGCTGAAAAGCATGTCCACAGCACCTGAACACGTCCAGCTTAACAACATGATCCGCCAATACAAGGATATCAAAGAATGGCCGCGACTTCAAATTCCTCACATCATGAAACACAGTTGCTTTTTAAAGTCTAGACACTGTAAAAGTGGAGTCCAAAAGCAACCAATCACGCAAGGGGTGTTCTGGGTTCCTTACAATGTTGTGGGTTTATCAGGTTCCAGTACCTTCTATTCAGCACTTCGTCACAGAGTGTTCCTAAGACCGCTACCCTTTGCCGACACAGAATGTGATACAGCTCCCACCCCCGGCTTCAGGACAGGTGTTTCCCCACCCTCCATCACCTCGGAGTCTGGCACAGATCAAGACACTCCATAAGGGCGCCTGGGTGGCTCAGTCGTTAAGCGTCTGCCTTTGGCTCAGGTCATGATCCCAGGGTCCTGGGATCGAGCCCCGCATCGGGCTCCCTGCTTCTCCCTCTCCCACTCCCCCTGCTTGTGTTCCCTCTCTCGCTGTCTCTCTGTCAAATAAATAAAATCTTAATAAAAAAGACACTCCATAAATGTTTGATAAATTAAAAGCATCTTAATTTATTCTCATTAGCGGCCGGTGTATCCTTTTACAGATAAGGAAACTAGAGCCCAGAGACACAGGCCTGGGAAGACGCCTGGGGTAGTAATGGATAAGCCAGACCAGAAGACACCATTTTACCAAAATGCTGCCATTTTACAGCAAATCATTTTTCCTTAACCAAATAGTCACCACACCGACCAAAAGACAACAACGATCAAGTCCTTAATAACCATTTGGGAGGGGAGAATAAAATCACTTGAGAAGTATACCATTTTCACTGTTTAGCCAGTGCGTATGGATGTGAAGTAGATCCACTGCTCACCGGCCTCTGTCCCATCCACCTGAGACCAATGCCTTGTTAGCAAAGGGCCAAATGAAGGTCAATTACATCTCTCTCCACTTCAGTTACTCAGTTTCAGCTGGCTTACTAGCATGCATCATTGGACTTGGCCACAGAAATATTTAAGGATAAACATCAATGTTCTCAAGGATAAAAACAGCTTGACAAGAGGTGACTTAAAATTTATCCCATTACGTAACTTTATCTTCAGGACAATTCCGAGCCTGGAAGAACAGGTCAAACCCGTCTGATTTTTGTTGTATGGAAGTGGTGGAGGGAGCCTGGAGATGGAAATGGGTTTCTTCGGCCTGGGCTGTCTTCTAGGATTACCACCTACGACGCTCTGGGATAAGCCTGCGTCTTCCTGCCAAACTGTGCTCCAAACCAAAGGGAACCACAGCTAATCTGGAGCAGCTGACAGCAATCCTTACAGTACCCGACAGGCCCTAAAGCTAGGATGGGAAGCCAGGGCTCTAGAACTCCACCTGTTTTGGGGTAAAAGTTCAGCAAATCAGCCTAAAAATAAAACCTTGAACAAATGCCAAGAGAAACACAGCTAGTTAATCACAGTGTGCAAATTCGAGACAAATGGCTACCAATAAAAAGTCTGAACTGACCGGAAGCCCCTCTGCTGCCCGTGCGAGGAAGGCAGGTGCAGAAGCTAAGAGACCCCTCAGGGCCTCTCGAGGCAACTGGCACTGAAGCTAAGGTAACGCTGTGTCAACTGTACTCCAATTAAGAAAAAGAAAGCATTTGGAACTATCGTGCGGAAAAACAAAAAGCCAAAACTCCCTTACAATTATTCTCTGCTCTGCACCACTATATATACGTACGTAGCAAAATCTTTTTACTATCCTAGCAAAAGTGAATTTTGGCCTTTCAGCTAGTTATTGGCTGGGGAACCGCGGACGGCGTAATTTTCGCATTTTCTCAGGGCCTCTAACGTTCCACACAAAGGTGGGTAAACAAACCTCTCCAGCGAGTGAGAAATGGGACAATACAGCCCACGCGAACGCACGCGCTCCCTAACGGCCTAAACCACGCTCCTGTATTTTACGTGAGTCCTCCCCCACCGGGCAAACGGGGAGGAGAACACGTTCCGACGGGGTGCGGGACTCCGAGTAAGACGCCCCCGTCTCTTACACGCCTCCGTTCTTTCGACGCCACCCGTCCTGTTTAACAGCCAAGGCCGGGGCGGGGTCCTCGGGGGTCGCTCGGGTGCCCAGGCGCGCCCCGGCCCCTTGCCCCGCGGTACCGGCGCTTCCAGCCACCCCACCCCGCCCCGACGCGGAGGCGGCTGTGCCGCGGTCGCGAGCGAAGCCCTCCTCGGCCCGGCCCCGCGGCCGCACGAAGGCCGTGCAACTCCTCGCGGCCCCCGGGCTCCCCGCGCGAGCGGCCCTCGGCGGCGCCCCCCGTCCCGACGAGCGCCCGCGGCCGGGTACCTGCGTCCAGCGGCAGCTCGCGGAGCACGAGCGCGGCCGAGAGCAGCGCCACAGCGGCCGCGCCGGCGAGCACAGCCCCGGCCCCCGCCAGAGGGGCCATGCCTGCAAGGCCGGTGTCGCGCTTACCTCGGCGGCAGGCCCCGGCGGCCACCCGGACGGGACCTACGGCCATCGGAGGCCGGGCTCCCGGCCGCCCCCGCGCCGCCGCCGGAACCAGAGCTCACGGCGGACTTCCGGCTCCCGGCCGCCCCCGCGCCGCCGCCGGAACCA